TGTGTGTACGTGTGTGTGTGTAGGACTTTGGTCTGGACGTGGATGCATTTGAGAACATGGTTGGGGATTGTCCACCTGCATTCTTTAGCCTTGCTGTCACCTGCTGTAACGTAAGTACACGCACACACTGTGCCACATATAATCCCAAAGTGTTTTCAGTTTCATATTTACTCATATTGGACACCATCAGAAGGGTCCAACTGCAGTTCAATTTTACTTTAATTAATTTACACACTCTTTTGTTTAATAGCTACGCTAAACATTTCTATACGTTAAATTGTGCTCAGCAAGACTCATTTACCTCTCATAACGTTCTTATAATGTGGGAAACAAACCAAATTCACCTGTATTTTGGTGTCAAATTCCTCCAGATGAAAAAAGCTGTACTGCAGTTGTGCCCTGGATTGAACTGGATTGCTTTTAATAGTCAACTACTCAATGCTCAAACCCTATCGGCTCACAGAAGAGGGGCCTCAGTTGAAAGCGTGTCACCAAGTGGATGTGAAGATAGTCATTTACATCAGTGTGTATGTGTGGATCTTTTTTCAGATGAGTGCAGAGGGGCGTCCATCATTCTCTGACATTGTCTTCACATTGGAGGACATGGATAGAGAAGAAGAAGGAGAAAAGCCCATTTCACTTGGTAAAAGGATCAAATGTTTTTGTATGCATTCAGTTAATACTACAGACGTGTTTTACAGCACCCTCGATATGTGTGCTCACACAAGGCTGTGTGGGTTTCCCACCTTTGATCTAAACTTTCAGCATAGTAAGTACATCATAGTTATAAAATAGTATCCTGACTGGCAAAAAAAGGCAAGAATTAAGATATTGAATGAAGTACTCTATTTTTGGTATCTGGTATTGTAATTTTTTAACCATACCCTTCCCAAATTAACCCGCTTTTCCTCTTTGGATATTGAACATTAATTTAGGCATTTTTGATGCTTTAAGACAACTTCAAGATCAAAGCAGGAACCATTTAAGCCCTTATCCTGTCAGTTGATATTGTGCTTTAATGGTGCTTATTTTTATTATCCACGAATGATAAAAGTAGAACAACCCATTCCACACAGTGGGGCACTGGCGTACTGGGAGTAGTTGCCCACTTTGTCCAATTGGTAGTCTGGCGCTTGGCTACAGATTTTCACATCCTATAACTGCCACAACTACCAAAGATGGGTTTCTGGTCTTAAGTTGTCCCCTGTAAAGTTAGCTTACTTCAGGGATGAATCTGAATCTGGATTTTTAGCATTGTCATTTACCTATTTCTGCACGTACTGAGCGAGCGAGCGAGCAAAGACACCTTCTCCAAAGCTCATTAACAGTACTACACAATTTTATTTTATTTAAAAGTGGTGTGTGAATATGATGAAAATGCTTCATTTACACCTAAGGGGGGTTACGGTTACAGGTTAGGGTTGCATGTACATTTAGTGTTGTTCTACAAAAAAAATAGTACCTTATAACACTAGTAACACTGCTTAGGAATTTTAAAATCATGGTAACATCTTCAACCCTGATGCAGAGTCTTGTTCATTTCCCACCTTACTTACACGTCTTCCCTTCCCTTGCTCAGAGCCAGTGGTGGCAGATGTCAGCCCATACCGGCGCCGCAGCTCTCCTTGTCACCAAACTGACCACAGCCAGCAACGGCAAGGCTTGGCGAGGAGCCTGTCGGACGTGTTACCCCCGGCAGCCCTGACCCCACCTCTCCTCGGAACTCCTGCGCGGGTCAACCCCTTCTCGCTCAGACACGACCTGAACGGGGGGAGGTGTAAACTCTTAGACACGCCCAGTAAGTCCGTCATCTCCCTGACCTTCACTCTCCCGGCGCTGCGTGACCCATGTGCCTCTCCCAACCTTCTCAGAGGGATGCCGGGGACGCGAGCACTGCCGAGGAGATGTCAGTCGCTCCCCTGTACCCCTGAGCTTAGCCGAACTCTAGCCTTGTCAAGAGACACAGAGGGGAGGGAGGAGGAAAACAATGAGAATGACAGAGTGGCGGCAGTTAAAGGAGGGGGTGATATGGAGGATGACATGAGGAAGAAGACAGGAGAGTTAGAAAAGGCAGGTGAAAGGTTGCGGGTAGAGAGTGTGGAGATCACTGGACAGAAAAAGTTGTTAAAGGAGGAAGATGGGATGGGAGAAGATTCAGGTCTTCCCGTCGAGCTGGAGATGGTGTCTCTGGAACGGTTAGAGGAGGAGGAGGAGGAGGAGGAGGAAGAGGAAGAGGAAGAGGAAGAGGAGAGTGTATGTCTAACAGAACCCATGGACTGTACCAAGTCTCCAGAGCCAGCAGAGGGAGTCTTGGACTCCACAACCCTGCTCACCTCCACTTCCTCCACATCCTTAAAGACCAACGGCTGGCGACTTCCCATCTCCAATGGACCGCCCTCCTTGCCTCCTCTTCCTCGACTGGACAACAATAACGGCTCAGGCCTTGTGATTGGCCAGCAGGTCCAGTGGGGTGGAGGAGGCCGGGCTAATGGTTACAGCGAAGCCCAGGTCCTGTCCTCTGATCCTAGCAACCCCTCTGAGCAGGATGAGGTCATTTCCTGTCCGGGCTGCTGTCTGGTGGGTCTGAGTTTCCCCTTGGTGTGCCTCCGTGGTTCAGCTGCTGTGCCTGCCCCCCGCCGAAGGGCTTCGTTACCACGGCAGCGCCCCTACCGGAACCTCAACGGTACCATAACCGGTGGCAGCACTTCTTCATCAACAACAGCCACTGCAGCAACCAAAGCTCTACTGTGTCGCAGCACAAATGGACTAGTTGTGGCCGGGCCCTCAGTGCCATGTGAACCCGGTCGGTCCCTGCCGGAGGCCCAGACATAAGCCGGCTCAGAGGGGATTTAGTTTTGAACTTGTGGCATGCACTGGCACTAAATGTTAGCAGACAAACATAGCAACACTAAATGTTGCTTTGCTAATGCTGAGAAGCCAATACTGACCCCAGCCTCTGAGATGCGTTGTTAATTCTTTGCAGTCACAGCAAACCGTAGTAGTTGGTGATTAGAGCTTCACCTGGTGGACTGGAGGATTAAACACAACAAATCGCTGCAACACTAAAGAGCGGTTGTTGTGTAAAGGTAGAGGTGGCTAAGAGGCAGAATACAGCTGAACCAGCTATAAACTGGTCTGCATCTCATTACTGCCACTGTAATGGTGCTGATCCAAACAAAGCAGCTACTCTGACTTACACGCCTCATCTCTACTCAACCAAATCAAACTGTGTGCACTGGCTTCCATTCTGGAAGCTGTCGTGAAAAAAAAGAAGCATGTGGCTGATTTAACAAGCTAAGTATACTTGCAGTTTGATGGCCATTGATAACGGTAATAATAACACTGTACTCATCAAGGTAATTACTGAGATCTGGGACATGATTAAAAAGAAGTTGCAAGCAACGTCCAGGTTAGTGAGGCGATTTGGAAGAAAAATAATGACCCAAATTGGCCATTGTAAACATTCGCCACCGTTTACAGACTGACCCTCTTCTTTTGTTTTGCATGGAAGGCCTGGCACTGCACTGCACTGTTGAGCCCAGGCTCTATGTGGAGTGAATAGAAAATGACTTGTGAATGGGGTTTACTTCAGCCAGCACAGTGTGGCTGCAGGTACATATATGAAAACAATGTTTTTGATTCTATTTATTTGATTAACAGTAGCTACATGGGGAATATTTATAAAATGAATAAAGATGATTTACTTCCTACATTTTTATAGCAGTTGAGCTGTATGAAAATGTGTGTGTGTGCAAGTGTGTGTGTGTGTGAGTGAATGTGTGAGTGTGTGAGTGTGTGAGTCTGATATCTGTTGCTAAAGTGACAAACTCTTCCTGTTCTTGTCATGTAAATTCTTCATGTTTGCACTTCAGTTTGGAGCACTTTGCAGTAAGACACCAGGCTTTGACTAGACGGTGCTTTATCTAAATCTGTGCTACTGGTGTTTTATATATGTGTTCGCTTCTGCCCCCACAAACTACACAGCTTTCACCCTTCATCTGACATCTACTCCCCCTCACATGTATCTTGTGTATGTACATGTACATTTTGATGACACTGTTGTAACTTAAAAAGTGGCATGTGAAGAAGCAGGTATGGATATTTATTGTATATCATTCCACACACTGTGTGTGTACAGGATGTGTTTTTGAGCGAAAAGTAGAGCGATCACTCACAGGAGAACTTTTATCCTGTCATTTCTGAAGGTTACCCATGGTTCCCTGCTTCATATTTTTAATTGTATCTGATTCTATACAGCTGGAAACCTGCGTGCAATAATCTGGTAATAAACAAACATGGTTGTGAATATCCCTCTGTGTTGTATTTTATTCTTTTTAACTAAATAGCTGAAAGTGAAGAGTAGTGACTGGGGGAGAGGGTGGGGGGGCCTATACAGTACTATTATTATTGAAAATGAACAGAATGGGACATTAAAGGTCAAGGGATTAATTAATTACTTGTGGTCAGTTCCAACCATGCCATAACACTATTTGTGGAAAT